TTCCATATTGGTGAATGCTTTTCTAGCACCAGCTGTTCCACTTTTGATCCAACTTTCTGCTAATGTGCCTGAGAAGGCAGTAGATGATGGCCCAAGTGTTTGGACCCCTACCACCCACTGGGAGAGCCAGATGGAGTATCAGGTTCCTGGCATCAGCCTGGTCCAGAACTGACTATTGCAGCCACTTGAGGAGTGACTCAGCGGATGGAAGATCTCTCCCTGATCCCCCCCTCCCCAACCAGGATCTCTCTCTCCATTTTTTTTTTCTCTTTTCTCTCTCTCTCTCTCTCTCTCTCTCTGCCTTACAAGTAAATAAGTTTATTTTTAAAAGATATAAAATATACATTATGAAATTCACTTATTTCAAATGTGTAATGTGGGGCCAGTGTTGTGGTACAGTGAGTTAGGCTGGCATCTACAATGCCCTGCCAGCCACATGTGAGACCTGAGTGGGGTTTCAGATCTCTGGCTTCAGCCTGGTCCTCCTCCACCCGCTGTGACCATCCGGGGGAGTAAAGTACCGGGTGGAACATTTCTCTTCCTCTTTCCCTCCTTCTCTCTGTGACTTTGCCTTCCAAACAAAATAAATAAATCTTTATATATACATATGTATATATAAATCTTTATATATCTCAACTCAATTTAAATATCTTTATAGACAAGTATCTCCATCATCATAATCTAATTTCAGAGCATTTCTATCACTCTAAAATGAATGTGTATCCAATTATTGTTACTCTACATTTTCAGTTCTGACCCTAGAGAATCCCTATGACTTGCTTTCTATTTCTATGTATTTTTCTTATCTAAGCATTACATGCGTGGATTCCTCAAAAAATTCACAAAAAAATGGAATTAAAAGATTTAGGGTCTGGTGCAGTAGCCTAGGGGCTGAAGTCCACACCTGGCATACACCAGGATCCCATATGGTTCTGGTTCTAATCTCAGCAACTGTGCTTTCCATCCAGCTCCCTGCTTGTGGCCTGGGAAAGATTTGGGACCCTGAACCCGCATGGGAAACCCACAAGATGTTTCTTCTGGCTTCAAATTGGCTCAGCTCCAGCAGCTGCAGCCACTTGGGGAGTAAATCAAAGGACAGAAGATCTTCCTCTCTGTCTCTCCTCTTCTCTGTATATCTGACCTTCCAATAGAAATATAATAAATCTTTAAAAATGCTTTTAAATTTTTGGTTCATAATTTTTGAAATTGGCCTAATTTAAACATTTCTATTATCTATTTTTTAAAATATGCAAAGAAATAATTATATGGAAAGAATTATATGTAGAGAGAGGGGGAGAGACAAGAGAGATTTTTTCCATCTGCTAGTTCACTCCCCAAATGGCTGTAATAGCCGTAGCTGGGTAAGGCCAATGCTGGAAGCCAGGACTTTCTTCCTGCAGGCCTCCCACATGGGTGCAAGGGCCCAAGGACTTGACCCATTCTCTGCTTTCCCAGGCCATTAGCAAGGAGCTGGATTACAAGTGGAGCAACTGAGACTTTAGCAAGCACCCTTAGGGGATGCCAGCACCACAGGCAGAGGATTAGCTTGCTATGCCACTGTGCTGGCTGCAACATTGTTTCAATAATTTACTTTTTCTAGTAACTTTTTGAAAATCTCTTGTATACACACATCTCAAAATAGTTTTTTGTTTCAGAGTAAGTGGATTCTTCCTCTAAAAAAAAGAATATTTATATTTATTTGAAAGGTCAAGCGATAAAGACAGCAAGGTCTTCAGTCTGCTAATTTATTCCCCGAACTCCCCAATAGCTATAGTTGGGCAGGCCAGAGCCAGGAGCCAGAAACTGCATCCGGTCTCCCATGTGAGTGGCAGGAATCCAAGTGCTTGAGTCATCAGCTGCTGCTCCCTAGGGTGCCCATGAGGAGTAAACTGGGCAGGAAGCAGAGGCAGGACCTAGACCCGGGGACTCTCTCATGGGATGCAGGCATCCCACGGAACAGCTTACCCCATCCTGTCACGATGCCCGTCTATCAGAATACCTTTCACTTCCATTTTCCAATCATTTTGAAGTTCCCTCCTGTTCACTGGATCTTACAGTGTGTGACCTTTTGCGCCTGACTTCTTTCACTGTGCTTAAACATGATGTTGAGGATTCATTCCTGTTATAGTGCATTATCAATCCTGTGCTCCATTTTATTGTCGAATGTTGCACTGTATGCCTATTCCATATTTTATATCTCTCTACTCAGCAGTTAATGGACATTTGGGTTGTTTCCCTTCTTTGGTATGTTAATGCAGCTACTTGGTCAGACTGTGTGGATTTGTTTCCATTTCTCTTGGGTTGTTACCTAGGAGAGAAATTCCTGGGCCTTATGGTGAGTATTATTTAATCTCTTAAGACATTGCCAGAGTAACCATTTCCCATCAGCAATATGTGAGCATTCTACTTCCTCCCTATTCTCACTGTCTTTTTACTAAGTTCATTCTAGTATAGGTTAAGTGGTACCTTGTACTTGCAGTCTCAGTTTGTATTCTTTTAAAGATTTGTTTTATTTATTTTGAAAGGTAGAGTTACAGAGAGGGAGAAAGCAAGGAAGAGAGGGAGAGGGAGAATGAGAGAGAAATGTTTTCCATCTCCTGGCTCACTCCCTGAATGGCTGCAAGGACTGGGGCTAGACTAGATCAAATCTAGGAGCTTCTTCCAGGTCTCCCACAGGAGTACAGGGACCCAAAGGCTTGGGACATTTTCTGCTGTTTTCCCAGGCACGTTAGCAGGGAGCTATACTGGAAATAAAGCAGCCAGGACACAAACTGGCACCTGTATGGGATACAGGCACTGTCTACTATGCCACAATTTTTAAAAAATATTATTTATCGTTTGAAAAACAGTTGTGGAGAAGGAATGGGTGAGATAGAAGAGATCTTCCAAAACACTAGTTTACTACCCTTATGGTTTCAATAGTCAGAGTTGGGCTGGGCCAAAGCCAGGAGCTTCTTCCAGGACTCCCATGTGGGAGCAAGGACCCAAGTACTTGGGCTATTTTCCATTGCTTCCCAAGATACCCTAGCAGGGACAGTAGCGGGGAGCGCGCAGGAGCGGGAGCGCAGTGTGGACGTTGCCGCAGCTGCCCAGGCAGGCGCCTCCACATGCACCCCTCCGATATACCCAGCCCCCAGCTCTTTGTTCTGGCGCAGCCTTTAGCCTCTGTGCGCGCACACACGAGCGCACGGGAGCACGCGTCGTCGCGCGCGCACGTACCGGCCAAATCCTCCGTGGGAGGCTCTTGGGGAGTCTGCTGCGCACCCCCGCCCCAGCCCTTGCAGAAGGTCGCTTGCCCCCAGACTGCACCTGGGGGTCTCCCCTTAATAGCCTGAACAACCAGGACATACACCGACACCCATATGGGATACCAGCACCATAGGCAGCAGCTTCACTTGATCTTAGCCAAAAGTCCGAGAAACGATGGGCAGCGGCTTTATTTGCCATGCCATAGCACTGTCCCCATGTATTTCTTTAATGACTAACAAAATTGAACATTCTGCATGTGCTAGTATTACTAGCCATTGAGTATCTCCTTTGGTAAAATGTCTATTGAAGGACCTGGTGAGGTAGCCCCTAGTGGCTAAAATCCTCACCTTGCATGCACTGACATCCCATATGGGTGCTGGTTCATATCCCAGCAGCTCCACTTCCCATCCAGCTCCCAGCTTGTGGTCTGGGAAAGCAGTTGAGGATGGCCCAAAGCCTTGGGACCCTGCTGCCATGTGGGAAACCTGGAAGAAACTCCTGGCTTTTGATCAGCTAAGCTCCGGCCATTGCAGCCACTTGGAGAGTGAACCAGCGGATGGAAGATTTTTTTCTCCGTGTTTCTCCTTCTCTCTGTAAGTCTGACTTTCCAATAAAAATAAACCTTTAAAAAAAAAAAGTCTATTCAAATCTTGCCCAGGAGTGAGCATTTAGCATAGCGATCAAGATGCCACATTAAAGTGCCTGGGCTTCTCGGGTCATTATCTGCTGCCTCCAGAGACATTAACAAGAAGCTAAATTGGAAGCAGAGCATCTGGAGCTTGAACCAGCGCTCTGATTTGGGATGAAAGTGTTCCAGGTGGCAGCTTAACCTGCAAATACCTACCACATATTTTGCTCGTGTTAAAATAATGTACCTTATTTTTATAAGAACTCTTTATATGTGTTATCAGTATTTTACCAGATATGAAATTGAAGTTGTTTCTTCCCAGTCTGTGGCTTTTATCATTTTCTTAATGGTAGGTCTCTCTTGCAAATTTTGGAGGAAAAAGGACCAGGTAGAGCTGTGTGCCAAGAGTTTGGCAGTAGCGTAGGATGGATGAGGGAGGGCGCAGAGAGCTCTTTCTGTAAGTTGTAACAAAGGAAACTGGCACAAACCAAGTTTCTTTCTTTTTTTTTTTTAAAGATTTATTTTTATTATTTTTTCATTGGAAAGGCAGATATACAGAGAGGAGAGACAGAGAGGAAGATCTTCTGTCCGATGATTCACTCCCCAAGTGAGCGCAACGGGCCGATACTATGCCGATCCGAAGCCAGGAGCCTCTTCCGGGTCTCCCACGCGGGTGCAGGTTCCCAAAGCCTTGGGCCGTCCTCTGCTGCTTTCCCAGGCCACAGGCAGGGAGCTGGAAGGGAAGCGGGGCTGCCGGGATTAGAACCGGCGCCCATATGGGATCCCGGGCGGCAAGGTGAGGACCTTTAACTACTTGCGCCACCGCGCCGGGCCCACAAACCAAGTTTCTTAAAATTGTCTGGGAGCCAAAGGGTTATAAGCAGCTGTGTACTGAAGCCTATTTACAGTCCAGTTAATCAGTAAACTGGAATTAGTGAAGCTACCCATCTGAGCAAGTGCAAAACACTTTTCAAAAGGTTTTCCTGGACTAAGAGAAAGAAAATGAGGGAAAAGAGCTGTGTGGCGCTCCCAGAGCTACAGAAATAATCTCCCGTGTCCACGGGGACCTTCTGAACTTCCTCCCAGTTGCTGTGACACTGGTGTGTCCCCGGGAGTCACGGAGCAGAGCTGCTTCTTGGCCCCTTGAGTTCTGACCACTGAGGCAGACACGCTCCGTGCTGTCCCTGAGGACGCCTGGCAAGATGTCTGACTGCCTCACAATCTTCTTCCATCTCCTCCTGCTCTTCAAGCTCATCACCCCCATCACCTTCCGTCACCACCGCTACGATGACCTCGTGCGGACGCTGTACAGGGTGCACAACCAGTGCCCGCACATCACGCGGATCTACAGCATCGGGCGCAGTGTGAAAGGGAGACACCTCTACGTGCTGGAATTCAGCGATTACCCCGGAATCCACGAGCCCCGTAAGTCCCCGTGCCCAGGCGGAACCCACCCCGGGTTAAATATTGCCTCTTCCTCAGCCTCAGGTTGGTTTCTCCTTCCTTGCCCCTTATACTGCCCCACCTCTGGGTGACCGGTCCCTGTGTCAGACCCTGGCTTGCCTCTCCTCTGGGTTCTAACTGCTCCAGGCCTTCCTGGGGAAGAGTGGGTCTTCTTTCCTACTTTCCTTCCAACCCTACCTTCCCTTCCCTCCCATGATGTTCCTTCTCTGTGATTATTCTATCTTCTAGGGTCCAGTGACTCTGGAGATATAAAAAGAAGCAATGAACCCTTATAGTTATTTCAAGAAACTTAGAAAGGTTCAGGGATGTCTGACCCAGGAATGGTGGCCTCACAGAGCATGGGACCCTCGAGAGAATCTGGGACTGGGGTGGTAGCTTTATTTTTTGGATTCTTTCCTGTTTGTTTCTATGATAATATGAATCCATAATTTGGGTTACAAAAGTAGAAATTAAATAAGAAAAATAACAAAGCCTATTTGTAATTCCACTATTCACAGATAACCACTGTTAGTATATCAATGTGTGTCCTTCCATGTGTTTTCTATGCATACTTAAATCTACATCTATCACATGCACATGTAATTATGCTTATAAGAGTAGAATCATACTATAATTTCTTATACTTTTTTTACAATTGTGAAATTTTATTTTCATTTTATTTAAAAGGCTTAGATACTGAGAAAGAGGGAGATTGCTCATTGATTTGCTCCTCAAGTGCCTGCAACAGCCAGGACTGTGCCACTGTCAAGTCAGGAGCCAGGAACTGCATCCTGTTCTCCCACAGGGATGCTGTCACCCACTACTTCCCAGGTGCAATAGCAGGAAGCTGGATCAGAAGCAGAGCAGCTACAACTCAACCCACCACTCTGATATGGGATGCCAGCATCATAAGCATAGTTTACAACATCATCAGCAACATTTAATGATATATCATCAAATGTGGGGGCTGTGTAATATTCCATTGCATGGTTTGTTTAACTGCTTACATGTTGATGGACATTTGGATTGCTTCTAATTTTATACTGCATTTCAGCAATGGTGTCAGTTATGTCAGCTTCTCCTTCACATTGTCAACCTCAAATCTCCCTTCTCCTTTCCACTTCCACATCCAGGCCTAACCCAAGCTCTCTCCCAATCTGCTGGATCATCGCAGTAGGCCCCTAACTGGGCTTCCCAAGCTCCTGACCACTGCTACCCTCTGAAAATTCCAGGTGGCACACACAGATGTTGGAATAATTTTTCTCATCACTCTCCTACTCCCAAACCTCACTCTGAGGATTCTAATCCTGACACAGGAGATGCTCAGGGGGCCATGTGGCTCTGTGGCGATAAGTACCTTGCTTTTTGGAGTTGCACTTGCTTGTCAGGCACCACACCTCTTCTTTTTTTTTTTAATTTCTTTTTTTTTTTATTTTGACAATCTTTACACAGTTAATTAGGGTAAAAAGGTTCAAGGGCCATAGGAAAGTGGGTAAGACCAGCATTTTTTCCATATTGTTTCCTTCATGTTTAAAGGGGGGTATTAAGGGAGAAGGCCCGCCCAATTTTCCACCCTCCCCAGGTGCCAAATGTAGGGGGCATGCTCTGAGGTTCTTGCTCAAGTGGTTTTGATATTTCAGCAGTTATGAATCGCTGCCAATCTTGCCACTCCAAGCACTATGAGGTCTTTGAAAAATCCACTGATTGACATAGTCCATCATAGCAGAGATGGTTGGTTGACCTGTTCTGTCTTCTGTCTTTTCTTGGTTAGGGTTCTGAGTCTGCCATTTCGATTGGGGAGATCTCCAAAGAAACTTTGTCTGAGGTGTTCTCAAACCAGATTCTTGTATGTGCTAGCAAGTACAGGGCCCAGCACAGTCCATCGCCCTGATCAGCTGGTAGTGTAATTGCTGGGTTGGTTCTGTTTTCAGCCCCGACTTCCACTGGAACCAATGGGTGTTGCAGTCCAGCCTGGTTCTGCCCAGCACATACGTGGCCTTCACATAAACCAGTGGGAGCTGCAGCCTAGTTGGAGCGACCCACAATAACCCCCACCAGGCCCGCCCCCTACCCTGGATCCAGTTTGTCCCACACCCCATTCCACCCCAGCCACTCTCTTAGTTTTATGTCCTCCCATGGAAGTGGTACCCCAAGAGGGATGAGCCCACTATTTCCCTCCCAGGCCTCTCCCACTCCCAGATTATGCACTCTCCAGATAGTTCTGTGGTTTGACTTGACAGAACTAGCCCCCAATGCCAGCCTCTGCCAGCTGATGCTGTGGCTAAGCCCAAACAACCCTCACCCACTCTAATTTTGTTTGCACCAGTAGGAATAATCAGCCCAGCCCGGCTTTTCCCTGATCTAGTCCACATGAGGCGTACAGGACCACACCTCTTCTGAACTGCCTGCTCCTTGTGGAAGCTCATGGGTAGATGCGCATGGGCATTATAGGGTTAGCTGCTCACCCCATGTCCCCTTCTTGGTATCTCTGTGCACTGTAGCTTCAGAACCCTCAGTGAAGGTTTCCACACAGCATCAGCTGCACCAATCCCTCTTTTCTTTGAAGCCCTTTAGCTGTACCTCCATTAATTCCTTTCATTCATTCCACAGATATTTATCAGTCACTATATGCATGCTCTTTTGTAGTCTGTGAAAGTATAACAGGGAATGAAAAAGAAAAAAATAGACCTTTCTCTCCTGGTCAAGAATTCTAGTGGACAAGACTGGCAATGAAAGGCCATAAGTGGACATAAGTGCATGAGAGAAAAGCACTGGTACAGAGATGTGACGGTGCGGGCCAGACCAATGTTGGGGAAAACTGAGTGGCAGGCCGAGTGAACACAGCACGCCAACAGGGCCAGAGCATGCCTACCTATGTGGGCAGCAAGGGGGCTTAGGGAACAGTAGGAAAGTGGGAGGAAGAGGCGGAGCTGGCTGCTCAGGCACTCCCACAGCAGGGCGTGGCAGGCCGCACAGGCCTTTGGAGATATTTTGGCTCCTATTTTGACTAACATGAGGTGTTCTTGGAGGACTTTAAGCAGAAGACAGTCAGGATGTGACTTAAATTGTTTAAAGATCACTTGGTATTAGGTCAGCGAACTACAGTCCAGGGGCAAGCCACTTGTTTTGTAAATGAAGTTTTATTGAGACACTGTCATTTTTGTATTTTCTGTGCTGTGTTTGGCTGCAAAACCTGAAGAGCTATGATGGAAACAATGAGGCCTAAAGGTATTTCCAATCTCCCCCTAAAAAATTGTGCCAGCCCCTGACTCTGGAGTGTAGATGCGTCTGGACCTTGGCAGATGCAGGAGCCTGAGTGGGAGCTTCATGAGACTCCAGGCTTTCCAGCGCAGTTGGTGGCAGTGGTGGGATTCAGGTGAGGGTGTGAGGAAAGTGACAGCTGTGAGTGTTGTGAGCAGTGGCTGTATTCTGGCTGTCCTGAAAGGCGAGCCAAAAGCATATGACACCGAGTGCCTACTGAGAGCGTGACGCTGCTGGGTTCTGTCGGGTAGTGGGTGTCAGACCTGGATTTCACAGAGAAGTTTACAAAAATTCCTCTTAATAAATGAGAGATTTGAGAGGGAGTAAAACATATTTTCTAAATTTTATTTTACTGGAAAAGTGTATAAAGAAGACTATCCATCATCCATTACCACCAGTCTTTTCTCAAAGAGGCGAAAATCTTTCACCTGCTGGTTCACTACCCACTTGACTGCAATGGCCAGGGCTGGGTCAGGCTGAAGCCACGAGCCAGAAGCTTCTTCTGGGTCTCCCATGTGGGCTCAGGGCCCAAACACTTGGGCCATTCTTCACTGCTTTCCCAAGCACATTAGCAGGAAACTGGATCAGAAGTGGAACAGGCAGGACTTGAACCAGCAGCACCCATATGGGATGCTGGTACCACAGAAAGCAGCTCTACCCATGATCCCACAGCAGTGTCCCTAAGAGAGAAAAGTAAGAAAAATAAAACCCAAGATGAAAGAAGTACTTTGAGGTCAAAGCGCTCACATTATGGAACACTGTTGTGTGATCCTTATGGGCTGCAAGCATCCTGTTGAAAAAGACTTCAAGATGTACGTGGAGATTGACAATAATAAATAAATAAATAATGATGAACAAATAAATAATAAATTATAAAATTTATCATCACATATTATATAAACAGTATAATTATAAATATATAATATCTAATAAAATATATAACAAATAAAATATTCTAATATAAAATATAAATAATTTATAACTATATAAGTATAAATAAATTTAACAAGCATTTTTTATTTATTTAAAAGGCAGAGACATAGATATAACAGATTCTCTATTCACTGATTCATTCCTCAAATGCTGTTAACAGACAAGGCTGACCCACACTGAAACTAGCATCCGCAAGGTAACCAGGTCTCCGCCGTGAGTGACAGGAAGCCAGCCACCAGCCACTGCCTCCCAGGTTGTGAGTTAGCAGGAAGTTGGATGAGAAGCAAGCAGACTCTGAAGCCAGGCCCTGAGCAAGGAGATACTGGTGTCCAGAGAAACGTCTGATCTGCTGTGCCAAAGACCTGTCCCCAGAGCACCTCTGGTTCTTTTCAAAAGAACCTCCATTCTCACCTCCATTTAACAACACGGCCCAAGAGTAAGGAACAAGGCATAAAGAGATCTTTTCCTATTCTGAGCTTTCTCTGATGAGGAGCAGAGATTTTACTTTTATAGGTGCCAAGAAAACTAAGCTTTCCACTGGTACGATTAGCAACTGTTAGGCTATGACCTCAAGTTCTTTGTCAGAGCAGGCTTTGGTAAAATCCATCCTTATCCTGAAAACATCTGTCTCCGCAAAGCAGTACTATAAATGGTGCTGTAAATGCTGGCTGGGCTTTGGCCTTCCTCCACTCCGTTATAGGCAGGGTGCTTAAGCTCTTGCCTCCCTAGAACCCATCTGGAGGTTAGTAATGCCTGCTTTACAGGCTTGCTGTGAAAGTGGCTAGTGCAGTGTGGATTTGACTTACAGCAATTGCTGTGATCTCTGGCATGTGTGTTTTGTAGTTTTTACAAATTGTAGCCCCAGGATTCTTAGAGGAGTCCCAATGAAAGGAAGTATGAGGTTTTATTTCAGTCGTTTCTGAAAGAGAAAAGCTCCCTCATCAAGGTTGGGTGCCAAAGGTACTTTGCAACCTTGCCTTTCTTCTCTCTCTGCATGTGCACTTCCCTGCTGACAGTGGAGCCAGAAGTCAAGTACGTGGGGAACATGCACGGCAACGAGGTGCTGGGCAGAGAGCTGCTGCTGCAGCTGTCTGAGTTCCTGTGTGAGGAATTCCGCAACCGGAACGAGCGCATCACCCGGCTCATCCAGGACACGCGCATTCACATCCTGCCCTCCATGAACCCTGATGGCTACGAGGTGGCCGCTGCCCAGGTACAGAGCCGCGGGAAGAGGGGGGTGGCGGGAGGTGCTTCGGGAATTAAAAGCAAAGCTGGCAAAATGAGCATGTCCTCTGTCCTCTTGTAAATGGCACTCAAAAAATCAAAGACACAGTGATCAAGAAGAAAAAAAATAATGCTAAGGACTTGGGTTCAGACCTGTATCCCCGGAGGGAGTAAAGGCAGGCCAGGCCCTCTCTGAGCTTTGGGTCCCCCTGTCTGTTCACCTCCAGGTTTCGTTGTGAGGATCAAAGTGGTGCCGTCTGTGACAACACTTTGTAAACTGGAAATCAGTACAAATGCTGGGGACGGGAAGGGATTGCACAATAGACTTCCCTTCCTGATGTTTACCGTTGAGCCTGAACACTCTTCACACTTCATCCATTTACATCTGCCAGGGACATGTTACAAGTGTAAGCTTGCCCCGGATCAAGGGGACCATGCTGCTAATACCAGGTTCTTTCTGTAGAGTTCTCCCTCTACCAGTATACAACTTGACCTTTCTGCTCTTTGTTCTAGAATTAGATTTGTAGGTAAGACAAATGGACAGATAAGCAAATGTCTATGGGTTCTTTATTTCCTAATATAAATTCAAAATGTCTTTTTGCCTAACATTAAATTGGTAATTTTCTTGGGTGACTGTGCATCAGACTCTAAGGTGAAGATGTTTGACAAGCAGATCCCCAGGCCCTGCTGCAAACTTGAATTAACAATTTCAGAGATGAAACCAGGCATCTTTCTGCCTTGCACAATGGGTACATCCTTTTAAAAAGCTGTATACAAATGTGGGGGCTTGGGGAAAGGTGGAATCAAAGCACACTTTACACCTACTTGAAGATAGAGTTAGAAAGGTGGTTGAAGGTAGATTGAGGAGCGAAGCCAGCATGTTGAGTCAAACACAAAATTGCCTTCTGCAGTCTTACAACTTCCTGCTGAAATGACTCAATAAATGTAACAATACCTTCCTACCACTGGAAATCAGAGAGGTGCTCACTAACACACCCCAAAACTTACGTTCCCCATAAGTCCAAGGGTATAGGGAAGAAGCCCAATATGGCTGCATTCTTCCTGTATTGCAGTGGAGAAACTGGAGAATCAATTCAGTCCTGCCCACATCCTTTGCAATAGACAGGATGGGAAAAACCCTAGTGGGCCCTGAAACCAGTCAGAAACCAGTCACCTCTGTTCACCTTTTGATTGATTGATTTATTTATTTGGAAAAGCACTGCGGAATAACAAAAGTCAGTATCAGAAAGGCACATCTCATCCTCTAGCTTATCGCCTGTGTGCCTGCAATAGCTAGGGCTAGGTCAGGCTGAAGCAAAGACCCAGGAGCTTTATCCAAGTCTGCCATTCCTGTGAATTTCAGGAACCCAAGACTTTGGGCCGTCCTCTGCCACCTCCCAGGAGCATTAGCAGGAAGCTGCATTGGGAGCAGAAATGGGACTCAATCCCAGACATTCCAATATGGGATGCAGGTATCCCAAGTGGTAATTTAATGTGCTGTGCTGTGATGCTACATTCTTGTTCAGAGGGAGCAGATCTTGAACCTGACTCCCAGAACTACAGGTCATGTCCAAAGGCAACCTGCCTGCATAACTGTACAGGGACAGCCTACCTAGTTTCCAGCTTTAGAGTCACCTGCAGGTGGACAGAACAGTGGCCCCCAATATTGCCAGTGTTCCCTGACAATAGGGAATTAAAAGTTGCAAAGGAGCTAAAATTGCTGATCAGTTTTGGGGGAAGAGAATTGCTGAGGTCAGAATCAGAGATGGATTTGAAAGATGTGATACTGCTAGTCTGGAAGGCAGAAGAAGGGACAAGCACAATAGGTGGGTAGAAGCAGGGGAAAGTCAGGACAGAAATTCTAGAGCCCTCAAAAGGACTCAGTCCCTGGTGCTATCTTACTGTAAATCCTGTGAGAGTCAGTCTTCAAAACTTTAAGAGAATAAACTTACTGTTTTAAGCTGGTAGATTTATGGTAATTAGCTGCAACAGTAATAGAAAACTATTACATCACCAACTACTCAGAAGAAAGATAAGAAACCTAAACTGTTTTAAAGAAGGGGAACAGTGGATTCCCTTGTGTAACCACTTTGGAAAATGGTTGAGCAATTTCTTATAAACTGAAGCATAGACTTAGGTCACGATCAGCAGTGCCACTTGTAGATTTCTATCAAAGGGAAGTGGACACACACAGCAACACAAGGACTTGGACATGAATGTTCATGGCAGCACTGTTAACAGCTAACAAGCAGAAATAGCCCAAGTGTCCATGGTTGAAGAGTATCCTCTGTCTCCAAGTTCATATTTAGTTAGAACCATTGGCTGTGACCATTGTGGGGAACAGGGTCTTTGCGGATATAATTAAAACTTTAAATTGATGTCCTTATAAAAGGAAACAAATTTATAAATAGCTACACAGACACCTGGGAAGATGAGCACCTAAAGATGAAGGCAGAAATTCAAGTGAAGCATCTGTTGACCAAGAATTGCCTCCTACCACCAGAAGCTAGGAGAGACCAGAAAGCCACCTTGGACTTCCTTATAGAACTGAAAAAAGTACATTTCTAATATTATAAGCTGCTTGGCTTATGATTATTTCCTACAGCAGCCACAGGAAGCTACTCAGTCTATCAACTGGTGAAATGGATGAACAAACTTCTAAGTCCATATAATGGAACCATTCAGCAATCAAAAGGAATGAAGTACTGATATGTACTGATAGGTTATTCCAAGTGGAAAAAACAAGCACAAAAGAACATGTGAGATGTGACCCTGCTTATATGATATATGCAGAAAGGCAGCTTTGTACAAAGTGATTACCTGGGGCTAGGGTAAACATGAAGAACAACTGTGAGTGGGAATGAAGTTTTTTTTTAAGGGATAGAAATGTTCTAAAATTGGCTCTTGATGATGGTGTGCAGTGCTGCAAGCATATGAAAATTGGTTGGTTTATACCCTTAAAATAAGTGAATTATATAGCAGCAAAGCTATTTTAAAAATAAATAAAAACCTGGTGTTCCCACTATCCTGAAACACCTTACTCTTTCTAGAGCTTTTCCTGGGATCTCAACATTCCCATGTTCCTGGCACTTGGGTTAAGTAAAACAAGGAAATGCTCTATCATTTGATAGATTAAGCTACAGCCAAAATGATATAATATTCCTAAAGTACAGTATTCAGTTTGAAAGTTTACTTTTTTTGACCTCCCATTTCCCTCCCAGGGCCCAGACGTGTCTGGATATCTGGTTGGCAGGAACAATGCAAATGGTGTGGACCTGAACCGGAACTTCCCTGACCTCAATTCCTACATCTACTACAACGAGAGAAACGGAGGTCCCAATCACCACTTGCCCCTTCCGGACAACTGGAAAAGCCAGGTAGGAGATGAAATTTGTGAACAGAAGCAGGTAAATTGGCATCTAGAATTTGAAAAATTGTTCAGCTATCTTCATAACAAACAGGCAAGCCTTAAGCTCCTGCCTGGGTCTGCTTTGGTCCGTCTGGAGCAATAAGTGTGTCTTATGTGTCTTTGTGTTTAAACCTATCCTGTCCCAAGACAGAGCCCTCCAAGAAGTGCATGTTTACCGAATGCTGGGTGTGAGCACTGCTGGTGGTGAAGGAGGCGACAGTAGTACCATACAGTCACGTGGTACCTAACACATTTATTAAATTCTCTTACAGGCAGTGCTTCAGTTGACCATTGTGACACTGCTTGGTGAATGCATCAAGCAGTATTATCTATCTCTGCTATATAGCTACTACATGTGTAGATAAGATTATTTAAATTTACATAGCTAATAATTGGTAGAGTCAGGATGAAAGTCCAGGCCTTCTGACTGTCACTAATTAGATTTTGACAGGGAATTCCAGTGTTCCATAGAGAAATATTTCACATGTGATAACTGTATGTTCCATCAACAGTTGGCTACAGGAAGTTCAGGGAGGGGGAAAGGATAGTGTTGTGGTACAGTGAGTTAAGCTACTACCCGACTTACTGGCATCCCATTTGAGTGCCACTTTGAGTCGCAGCTGCTCCTCTTCTGATCCAGCTTCCTGCTAATGTGCCTGGGCAAGCAGCAGAAAATGACGCAAGTACTTGGGCCCCTGCCACCTACTTGGGAAACCTGGGTTTTGTTTCAGGTCCTTGACTTCAAATTCCCCCAGTTTAGGCCACTGTACCCACCTGGGGACTAAATGAGCAGGTAGGAAGATTTTCTCTCACCCAGTTACTTGCTTACTCTTTCTGCTTTTCAAATACAAGAAAGAAGTATATATAGAGATAGGAAGGAAGGAAGAACGAAGAAGGGAAGGAAGAAAAGTAGTAAAGGAGATAGACAAGCAGGCAGGCCCAGGGTACCCAGTCCTTACAGTTTTTCCTTTTCCCTTTCTTTACATGGGACCCTTGAGTACTTTACCATGCCCTGCCCCACCTAGCTTCCCTTCCTCTGTTAAGGAGGATCTTGTCCAGTGCTCCAAGACCCACCCTCCAGGAGCCTGAAGGGCCACTTCATCTATCCTGCTGGGTGGCCTGCCCCTGGGGGTGACTACCATCATCCTCAGAGCATAGTTACTGGTTATCAGCTAAAATGAATGCTTCTAGGTGTTGTATTTGTGAAGATCTAAGCCTAGAGGCTGCCCAGAAAAAAGCAAAGCAGGTACAATCCTTTATATTGGGAGCTTCCCAGATGAAAGCTACTTTGTTTTCCCTTGAAAACGAAGCAAAAGTCACACTGGTATGGTACCCTTGGTTCAAATAAATAATAAATAACAAAACTGTGTTGTAATGAACATATTCAGCCAGAACAATGTCCTAATTTTTAATAAAGATTTATTTTATTTTTATTGCAAAGTCAGATATACAGAGAGGAGGAGAGACAGAGAGGAAGATTTTCCATCTGATGATTCACTCCTCAAGTGACCACAATGGTCGTTGCTGCGCCTATCAGAAGCCAAGAGCTAGGAACTTCCTCCAGGTCTCCCATGCAGGTGCAGAGTCCCAAGGCTTTGGGCCATCCTTGACTGCTTTCTCAGGTCACAAGCAGGAAGCTGGATGGGAAGCAGAACTGCGGGGATTAGAACCGATGCCCATATGGGATCCCGGTGCATTTAAGGAGAGGACTTTAGCCACTAGACCAGCATGCCAGGCTCAGTGTCCTAATTTTTTAAGCAACAGAAACCCACCATCTGCTGATGCACTTTCCAAATGTCCCAAACAGCCAGCGTAGGCCAGGCCAAAGGCAAGATCTTGGAACTCACACTGGGTTTCCCACATAAGCAATTGAGCCATCACCTGCTGCCTCCTGGGGCATGCACCAGCAGGAAGTTAAGACTCAGGCGCTCCAGCCAGAAGGTGGCTGTCACGTGGTGACTCTGACAGCCACATGACAGTTCTAGAATGATCTGATTTCTCAAACTTGTTTCTATAAGTAAAATCAGGTAATTCAACCAATACAGTTAAGCTCCTATAAGATATAATGCCCTGTTTCACACATAAACAACAGACTGATGAAATTATAATGACTTATGTTGTATAACCATATGGGGAAAATTATTCAAGAATGAGAATTCAGTGGGGGAGGGGGAGGAAATCCCAGACTCTAAAGAATTATACCATAAAATTCAAAATTAAAAACAAGGATTACTCAGCACAAGTGTGGATGGGGCCTGGGTGCTCCAAACAGGGCTAGTCTCCAGCACCACCTGGTTCTCTGGAGGACCAGGGTAGATGTAGAACAGACTAGGCTAGGTCTCTGCCCCTACTGAGCCATGTATGAGCTGTCTGAGTATGGACAAGCCTTGGTTGGACTGAATCATACAACAGTAAGAACTGGAATGGGGTGAAGATCAGTCAGGAAAGGCCACTTTTACTGCCAGGGCAGGAGGACTAAGTAGAGCTTGCCCATGAACTCACCGGTATGCGCAAGATCTGGCATTGGGAGAGATTCTGATGGAGGAGCTTGGGCAACTCTGGCAGGACCCAGTCCCTACAGGTGAGCACAAGAACCACAATAGAGAGCAGCCCAGACCAGGCCAGGGAAAGGTACTCACTTACATACATTTGGCATAATTCGGGGGCAAACCAGGCTGAACCAGTTCACATCACCCGCTGGCGAATTTGAGCACCAGAACAGAGTGTGGGTCAGGCCAGGTTCAGTTGCAACACATACCAGTACACATTACGGCTACGACAGAGGTACTGGCTGGGCTAGGCTGGGCTGGACTGGAAAGTAGGACTGGTTGAGTTGAACTAGGCTTCAATGCCCATTGACATGCATGAGAGCTGAATGGGATATGGGATATGGGACAGACTGGACAGGTCTGCTGTACATATTGGCAAGCATGGTAACCAGGGTAGGGGGCAGGTCTGGGTTGGGGCTATGGGGAGTTACCTTGACTAAGCTTTAGCTCCCACTGGTTTGCAAGAGGGCCAGGTGTGTGCTGGACAGAATCAGGATTGACTGCAGCACCCATTGGTTCCTGAGGAAGACAGGTCTGGAAACAGAACTGACCCAGCAAATGCAACCACCAGCATATGCATAACCAGACTGTGCTGGACCCTGAACTGGCATTCACACACAAGAATCAGGTCTGGGATCACCTCAGACGAAGTTTCTTTGGGGATCCCTCCTACTGAACTGTTGATCTCACAACCCCAATCATGAAGAGAATTGCAGGTTCCATGGTCTGACCATGGAGAGCAGGTGTCAAAGCTGAGCCTCCTCAGAGGCTCAGATGGAACAGTGGACAGCATATCCAAGTGGACATGGAGGAAATGGTGATGCATCAGAGCCTGCGAAGGACACACCTGGCACCACAACAGAGGACGGTGGACAGAACAAATCGATCATCTGCCCCAGCCATGTGTTGGCAGTGAAGATATGGGCAAACAGAGACTCTAAGGTGATTATGTCTGCCAGTGGATTCTAGAGCGATTTCATCGTGCTTGGACTGGTGAGACTGGCAGCAATTCAGAACTGTTGAACTATTGAAACCGCTTGAGCAGTGCCCTTGGAGCATGCCCTACATCGGGAACCCTGGGATGGGGTGGGAGGTTGAGTGGGGTTTCTCCCTTTAGCTCTCTCCTTACCCCAGATACACACACACACAAAATGTAAAAACAATGGTCTTACCCACTTTCCTGTAACCCTTGACCCTTTGTGCCTTAATCAACTATGTAAAGATTATAAAAATAATTTTAAAAGGAAAATGAAAAAAAAAGAATTAAAAACAAAGAAAATGTGAACTCTGTCTGGTTCCTGATGGAACAATGAGAAGCTGGCCTTGTTCCAATAGATAGCTTAGGACATGAAGAAAGGGCTGTGCTGAAGGCCTGAGCCCTTGGTCACACACCAAGACCGGGACCTTGTCTTTCAGTATACTGATTCTCATCCAGTGAGACTCAGCCCTAACCACCTAGTCCCCTTGGGATGGAAGAGATGGGACCTCCAGAGCTGCCCCTTGGTCCAGGAAGTGCCATTAACACCCAGTAGTCTCTGAGAACATCCATCCTGGAAGGAAGCAAAACACCAAAGACTGTAAATTACCGAAGTTCAAGTGGATTCAAGGCTTTCCTTAGAATACTGTCATTCATGAGCAGCATACTATGTAAAGAAAACAGTGGGATTCACTACCCAGGACTGTCTGTAGTGACAGTATGTCTCATACATGAAATGTGGGTGTGATTCCAAGAGTGTATTCCACATATCAAAACTTCAACAGATGTATTGGAGGAAGCATCAGGTAGAAAACTGTTATCAGGGGCCTGGCACGGTAGCCTTGTGGTTACATCCTTGCCTTGCATCCACTAGGATCCCATATGAGTACCAGTTCATATCCTGGTTGCTCCACTTCCCATCCAGCTCTCTGTTTGTGGCCTGGAAAAGCAGTAGAAGACAGCTCAGAGCCTTGAGACCCTGCACCTACATGGGGCACCAAGAAGAAGCTCCTGGCTCCTGACTTCAAATCAGCTCAACTTAGCTGTGGCCATTATGGCTACTTAGGGAGTGAACCAGTGGGTGGAAGATCTTTCTCTCTGTCTTTCCTTCTCTCTGTATATCTGCCTTGAAATAAAATAAATAACATTATCAGGGCTAGTGCTCAACTGGCTAATCCTTCGCCTTCAAGTGCCAACATCCCATATGGGTGCCAATTTGTGTCCTGGCTGCTTCACTTCCATTCCAGCTCCCTGCTTGTGGCCAGGGAATGCAGCAGAGAATGCTCCAGAGCCCTGGGACTTTCCACCCATGTGAAAGACCTGGTGGAAGAGCTCCTGGCAAATCTGCTCCACTCAGGCCATTGCAACCACGTGGGGAGTGAGCCAGTGGATGCAAGAGCTTTCTCTCTATCTCTGCTTCTTTCTGTACATCTTTCCAATAAAAATAAATAAATCTTTTTAAAAAACCGAAAAGAAAGAAAGAAAACTATTATCATAAAACAGCATTCTTCAGCTTTATTCACGAAAGCCTTAAATTGGGAAGTCCCTTCGTAGGAGCCAGAGAAGCTAAACTGAGACTCTGAGTTGTTGCATCACCCCCTGTCTTCAAATGGATCTGTTCCTTTCATCTTCACCTCTGTCTCCCTCAGCAGAGTTTACCTCTTGGTATGGGTTCACAGCACAAACGGACAGAAAGTATGAGGAGTTGCCATGTATGCACTACCTCCCACCACCACCATTTCATACCAAACAGGTGCATATGTTATCATCAGTGGACCTACATTTGACGGACTCATCAGTAACCCTCAGAAGCCTATAGTTTTTTTAAGCTATATTTTACAGATTAATTTATTTTTATTGGAAAGGCAAATTTACAGAGAGAAGGAGAGACAGAAAGTAAGATCTTCAATCCACTGGCTCACTACCCCAATGACTGCAGTGGCCAGTACTGAGCTGATCCCAAACCAGGAGCCGGGAGCTTCTTTCAGACCTCTCACATGGGTTCAGGGTCCCAAGGTTTTGGGCCATCCTGTAGTGCTTCCCCAGGCCATAAGCAGGCAGCTGGACAAGAAATGGAACAGGCAAGACATGAACCAGTGACCATATGGGATCCTGGTGTATACAAGGTCAGGATTTAGCTGCTGAGTCCTCGTATCAGGCCCTAGAGTTCATAGTTTACATCAGTGCTCACTCTTACTGTTTCACATTCTTTGGTTTTAAGCAAATACATTATAATGTATACCCACCATTATAGTATCCTACAGGATAATTTCATTGCTTGAAATGCTCTCCATCTGCTTTCCATGTTGGAATTCCAGGTAAGATTTCCTTTTGAACAAAGAGTCCATACACTTTTTGAATCCATCAGTCCAAACTCCAAAATTTCCCATCTACACTTCCCAGACCTGGCAGGATTCAGTTTCATTTAGTCATGCTATCCATTCAGGCCTCTTGCTGATGGAATCACCCTGACAGCCTTCTGACACTTCTTATTTACCATACCTTTGTGCCACCTCTCATCTCCTCACAGGTGGAACCTGAGACCCAGGCCATAATCCAGTGGATGCACACCTTCAATTTTGTTCTCTCAGCCAATCTCCACGGAGGTGCAGTAGTGGCCAATTACCCCTATGACAAGTCCTTTGACCATCGGCTCCAGAATTTCCGCCAGCCTGCCAACACACCCACCCCCGATGACAAGCTTTTCCAGAAGGTATGTGGAACAACAGCTTGTCCCACTCTGGGAGTAACAGGCTCCAGAAATGACCTCAAAGTGCTCCATGGTACAAGTCCACAAATAACAACAGCAAGCGCTGCTGGCTTGCGGGGAGCTCACAGTCCAGAAAGTACATTTTTTGAGTTATATGCCAAAAATTGATGAAAAGATAGAGGAAAAGAAAAGCAATTATTACGACGAAAAAATATTTTGGCTAGTGTCAAGCAAAAATATGCCAGAAGGCTCATGTTGTTGTAGTAAGGAAATGTCAATCTTGGGAAATGGGTGCAGTGCTGCAGTGGATAAGTCCCTGGTTGGGATTCTTGTATTCATTTCACCCTGGAGTTCCTGGGTTTGAGTCCAGCCTCCTCATAGTTGACATTCTGGAGGGCAGCAGGCAATGAAGTGGTCAAGAACCCCTTGAATTCAGGGTTCCTGGCTGGGTAGAGAGAAAGCTTTCTTTCTTTCTCTCATTTGCCTTTCAAATGAGTGAAAATCAATTTTAATTAGATAATACATATGAAAACTAGTTTGTCAACTAAATTTGTGACAGATGCTGGGCATTATTTTAAAATGTGAATCTGGGAATTCTAATTTATAATTTTATAGCAATATGCCTGTTTTAGTGAAGAAAAGTCCAAAAATATGAAAAAGTTTTAGATAATAGCTCAAAACAATGTGATTAATATTAATATGTTAATTTATATTCATAATATATGAACACATTTTGTAGTGTACTGAGCACTTTTTCTTGAGCTAAAATTTTAAGATGTTTTTAGTTTTTATTAATATTTAACAAATTCAATGTAATTTGTAGATACAATACTAAGAAAATGATGACATTTCTCTCTTCTTCCCTTCTCTCTCTTATTATCCCCTCTTCATTTTTCATGTTTTTTCTTTTGAGATAACATGTTTTAGGTGTACAGTACAGTAAATGTCTAAATATTTCACCAAAGAAGATATTTAACAAGTAAAAAAGCAAAAAGATGTAGTCAAATGGGAATACAGTCAATGATTACAAACAGTAATTGAATAAAAAAATGACCATTTCACCCATAGACAATAAATTATAAAGTATCTATAGATCATTAAACCATAGTAGCATAAAATTCTTTCTTTTTAAAAATTTATTTATTTAGTTATTTTAAAGGCAAAGTTATAGAAAAGAGAGGAACAGAGATCTTTCATCTGCTGGTTTACACCCTTAATGGTTACAAGGGCCAAAGCAGAGCCTGGCAGAAGCCAGGAGCCAGGGAAGCTGCTTCTAGGTCTCCCATATAGGTACAGGGCTCCAAGCACCTGGACCATCCGCTGCTGCTTTCCCAGATGCATTAGCAGGGATCTGGATTAAAAATGGGGCAGCCGGGACATGAACTGATGTTCATGCCAATGCTGCAGACACAGGCTTCATCTGATATGCCACCAAATTAAAAGGCAATATATTACATAATATACATACTGGTAACATTAATATCATATTATTCACATTAATGCGACATTAATATTATATGCTAATATTAATGCCATATTAATATAACATATCAGTGTATAGTATGAGTATTATAATATAAATACCAACTAGGGCTTCTTCTGAGCGCCAGCATTGCCATATGAGTTTGGAATCCTCAAGGTCACTTTTGGCTTATTTTTCCCCTAGCTGGCCAAGGTCTACTCCTATGCACATGGGTGGATGCACCAAGGCTGGAACTGTGGGGACTACTTCCCAGATGGCATCACCAATGGAGCTTCCTGGTACTCCCTCAGCAAGGGTAAGGAAAGTGCTGAGAACTGCTCAGGGGAAAGAAGAAGAAAGCTCATTTCTCCTTTAAGTGACCAGCTTTCTTGGGGGAAATAATGGGAATGATATAGAATTTTACAATCGTACAGACATCTGTAACGTTGGAGAAGTCTCAGATTAGCATCCAACGTCATCTTGCATTCATTTTTTAAAAATTTTACATATTTTTGTTATTATTTTATGGTACAGTTCCACAGGCCCTGGGATTTCCCCCATCCCCTCCTCAATTTCCTTCCTTCCCCATATCATTACCATAATGTATTTGTTCGTGCTTAGTCGTATGTCCATCATTGTGGGCATGGACAATGGCAGAGAGTCCAGCATCCTATTATCAAGATATGGTAAACATTTTCTTTGGGAATCCATCTTTGGAAGTAGTGATGCATACTGCACTGCATTCCCACATCCGGATATGATAGTTACTATACATCCCCTTAAATGAAAAGCCACAATTCAAAATCAACAACAGGAAGAAAAATAGAAATTTACAATGCCATGAAGTTAAATAGCATGCTGCTAGATATGATAGTCTCCATTACACAGTTACTATACATCCCCTTAAATGAAAAGCCACAATTCAAAATCAACAACAGGAAGAAAAATAGAAATTTACAATGCCATGAAGTTAAATAGCATGCTGCTAGATATGATAGTCTCTATTACACAGTTACTATATATACCCCCAAATGAAAAGCCACAAAACAAAATCAGCAATGGAGAAAAAAAAAGAAATTAACAACACCATGAAGTTAAACAACACGCCACTGAATGGCCAATGTTTCAATGAAGAAATGAAAAAGAAAATCAATAACCTTCTTGAAGAAAATGATGCCACTGTATTATCTATGAGTCATTGAATAATTTAATCAGAAGAAAGTGTTTTGAAGAGATGAAACTAAGAAAAAAAATCAAAATCCATAATGATGATCTTTGTTGGTGACATATGACTCCTATAGGCAATAATTGGGTTTTGTTTTTTAATCCTCTACTAACCTATGACAAGAGATTGAAGAGTTTAAGCTGTTTACAATCAGGGTTAATACAAATAGTTGGCAATTTGGATCTGTCATTTTAGGAATGGGTTGTTCATTGATTTAGTCTGTTGTTTTACTGGGATGTTCTTTGCATTTGCCTTTGGTTTGGGTGGGCCTTATTCCTCTTCTCTGTCAAGAGAACATCTTTAAGTATCATTTGTAGGGCAGGTTTGGAAGAGGCATATTCTTATAACTTTTCTTGACTGTGGAAAAATTTTATTTCATTTTCACAGGCAAAGGAAAGTTTTGCTAGGTACAATATCCTGGGCCGATAATTTTTTTCTTTTAGAATCTGGAATAGTTCACTCCATTCTCTTCTGGTCTATAGAGTTTCCTGTGAGATGTCTCCTGTGAGTTTAACTGGAATTTCTTTATATATCAGTTGATTTTTTTTCACATGCACATTTTAGCATCTTTTGCTTGTATTCAATTGAAGAGAGCTTAATGATCATGTGTCTTGGTGAAGATCACTTTTGGTCAACCCCGCTGGGAGTTCTGTGCCCCTCTTGGATGTTGTTTTCCAATTCTTTCTCTAGATTTGGAAAATTTTCCTTTATTATTTCATTAAATACATTGGTAAACCCAGCTTCTCTTTCTGCATCTTCTGCAACTCCCATAACTCTTATATTTAGTCTTTTAACAGTGTCTTTCGATTCTTGAATACTTTTTCTTAGCTTGACCCAGCTCTGCTTGCTACTATGCGTTGGTTTCCCCCGGTGACAGGAAATATCTTCTGATTTTGAGATTCTTTCTTCTGCCTCCTCATTCTATTTTGGAGCCTCTCCACTGTACTCTTAATTTGCTCCACTGTATTCTTAATTTCTGATATATCAGTTTTCATTTGATTCCTTTCCAGTGTGACATAGTCCTTAAATCCCTTGAACTCTTGTTTTACGTGCTTCTCATTGTTGATAAGAAGCTTTGTAACAAATGTTTTGAATTCTGTATCCTCCATTTTCTCAGTGTCTTTCTGAGTTAACTCTGATTTTGGCAAAGGGTTTTGCTCCTTTGCAGAGGAGTCATCAGTAATATTCATTGTGCTTTTGTCTCTTCTTTTGCTCTTGGTCATTGTACTTCTAGTTATCAGATTCTTCTCCTTGGGGCAGGTTTCTAAGCTGTGTCACCCACAGGTTTACAGTTCGATTGTACTTATTGCAGTTGGTACATGGCTCTTTGTTTGCAGTCACGTGTGCCACTCCCTCCAGTGAGTTCCAGGTCTGGGTTCTTATGTTAGATTTCCACCATGGTCTCCGTAGCCACAGCTCCTGGCTCACCAGTCTCCAACTCTTGTGATACTGTGCTGAGGCTGCACCACTGTCTGTGCAACCTTTCTCCCACTTTCAGTTGGAGCAGTTCCCAGGATTAGAGAGACACTAGGTGTCCTATATAGCTAGGTTGTTGGTGGTGCTGATCTTGCCAGAACCTGTTGGTCATTAGGTCTGAGGGCCACATGGACTTATTTTGACCCATACAATGCTATAGTCAGTATTATTTTCCTGTGGGACCAGTGCAATGCACCGAGCTCAGTGAGATCTTGCAGAAATCAACCCATGTTCAGCTCACTGTCATCCCTGCAGTCTTAAATTCTTTGCCACACTGTAAGAAATGGTGCCTGATGTGCCACTACTAGATTTCTTGATCTGCTGGCCATTAGGTCTGCGGGCTACCAGGACCTATCTTGAGTGGAATCTGTAGAATGCCACATTGTTGCAGTTCACTGAGCCAGAAATGAGTTCACTTCCAGCTTGTGCATGCAGTCCTGCCCCATAGTACTTGCCTCCTTAAACAAAATGGCGCCCAGTTCAGCTCTAGGGGGCGGACTGGGTTGTAAAATCCACCCTGTTCCCACACTGCCTGTCTGGGATTTGCTGCTCTGTCTCTGCTCCTGGTCAAATGAAACAGACCAGCAGGATGGGTAGTTCTTTGTCTGGGTTCACCTCCTGTGCTCCCCTGGTGAAAGTCCTTTCCCGCCTGGTTGTTGAAGTAATTCCAGCTGCTGGCTGAATGCCATTGGAGTATCTGTCACTGCAATACCACACCATTGTGTCTGTTGCTTTCCTGTGTCTGTCAGTCTCCAGGTACCCCTCTGCTGTTGTTCTGTCCTTTCCTGTTTCCTGGAATGTGCCCTCTTTGCTTTATACTGGATAATATTTTTCTGTCTGTTTAAATGAGTCCTTACCCTATTCTACCATCTTGATTCTCCTTGTATTCATTTTTAAGATAGATTTTTACAGATTTATTAGAAATGCAGATTTATAGAGAGCTATGGGTGGGGAGAGATCTTTCATCGCTGGTTCACTCTCCAAATGGTTAGCATGGCCAGGGCTAAGCCATGCCAAAGCCAGGAATCAGGAGTTTCTTCTAGATCACCCATGTGGGTACAGGAGCCCAAACACTTGGGCCATCTTCTGCTCCTTTCTCAGGCATGTTAACAGGCAGTTGGGTCAGAAGTGGAACAGCCAAGACTCAAACCAACACCTATATGGGATGGCAGTGTTGCAGGAGGAGGCTTAACTTGCTATGCCACAACATCAGCCCTACTACTACACTTCATCCTGTGGGGCATGCAGTGGTGTGTCAAGTTAATTCTCTGCCTATGGTCACAGCATCCCATATGGATACCAGTTTGTGTGCCAGCTGCTCTACTTCCTTTCCATTTCCCTGCTTGTGGCCTGAGAAAGCAACAACGGATGGCCCAAGTCCTCTGGCTCCTGTACCCACATAGAACAAAAGGGGATCCAGGCTCCAAGCTCCAGCTCAGCTCAGCTCTGGACATTGCACCCATTTGGAGAGTGAACTAACAGATGGGAAGATCTTCCTTTATCTCTTCTCTTTCTGTAAAATCTACCTTTCAATTACAAACAAACGCATCTAAAAAAAAAAAAAGAGCACATAAGGTAGGAACACCTTGTGGACCTGTCATGCTAACGGTTTACGAGCATATCAGGGCATAACAGGAAACTAATAGAGCCAAAAGTGGTTGGGTTGCGAGAATCAATTGAGTTGAAATGTGGTTTGCCCGATCACTTAACCTCTCTGTGCTTTGGTTACTTTACATACAGTTAGTACATGAATCAAAGCACCAAACTCTACCCCATTAATATGTACAACTTTGAAGGGTTAGTAAACACACATTGATCTAAATAATACTTGTAATAGTAAAAAAAAAAAAAAGTAACATTTCCTTGTAACTCTGAGGTAAAGTGTGGAATAATGCACATAAAGCATTCAGAAATGCCTGACTCACATTAGGTTTTATACAGTAGCACAGAGGCATGCCTCACAGAACAGCTGATGAGCAGCGGGTAGCTACCCTGGGCATAGCCAGTTCCTCCACTGCACCCCGATGGCCTGTCTCCCCAGGAGCAGCCATCTGCGGTGGACATTGGGTTTCTATAACCAGCAAGAGGCTTTTTCCACTGTTCTCTGGGCCTTTTCCCTGGCAAGGGTCAAGCTAAGCCTGTTCGTGAACCTCCAGTTCACAGAGTTCTTAAGGAAAGGAGAGGCACTGCAACAGGTAACCAAGTTCTTCAGCCATCCTCTTTTAGCATCTGTCTTTTCCCATACTCTCAAATCTACCCTGGCCATCCCAGGGGGCCAGCTGGTGGCAGGGGACGAGTGGTTACAGCCCTGTGGAGAGAAGAGGGAAGCTGCATGAAAGAGCAGCCATATACTGGGCAGGCACGTTTGTGACCAAAAACTCGCTCAACTAAAAGAGAAAGACTGTCTTGAACTTTTTATTTTATTTTATTTTGAAGATTTGTTTCATTTGAAATGCACAGTTAGAGATGAAGAAAGAGAGAGATCTTCCATGCGCTGGCTCACACCCCAACTGCTGCAGTGACTGAGACTGGGCTAGGCTTCCTTGCTCATGTTTGTCTCATCTTTTTGCATTAATTTTTAGGCATTTGTGAAAATACTTGTTGATTTTTCTCCCCTGATCACTTTTATCTTTGACATGTGTGTCAAATCTTAAAAAAGTTATCCACTCAAAATATTTAAACAAAGTCATCTTCAGTTTTCATATGAAAATTCCAATGACTTTTTTTTTCAAAAACAAACAAATTTGTCCTCAAATTTACATAGAATGCCAAGGGGACCCCAAATAATCAAAATCATCTTGGAAAAAAAAAAAAGAACAAAGCTGGGACCAAAGCTGGATTAATGGAGTAACTACTCCTTCAGTGGATATTCAGATACTTATGCTGGTGGGGCCAGTGATCTCCACTAGTGCTTAAGTGTGAGACAGAAGTCCAGAGCAACACCAAGTTGGGTATGGTAGATCTCTGTTACTGGTAACAAAGCAGAAGGGTCTGATTGTATTAACTGGTGTGATTGCAGCCTCACCCCCTCTCTACCAAGGTGAACCATCTGCCAAGCTGAACCATCTAGCTCTCACTGGCTAGATGCCACATTCACACAGGTGCAAAGACCACACAAACTATCTGGACACTCCTCAGTGTGAGCAGGAACCACTCTGAGCCCCTGAAGTCAGACACAGTGATTGCTGGGCTCCTCTGTACATCTTTGTTGTTTTATGCCTTTACCACATTGTTCTAATATGGTAGCTTCGAAATCAAAACCATGATTCTTCTAGCTTTGTTACTTTTGTTTGTTTATTTTTAAGAATTGTGTGTTTGTTTGAGAAACAGATTTACAGAGAGAAGAGAAAGAGAGAGTAAACGTCTCCATCTGCTGATTCATTCCCCAACTGGCCGCACTGGCAGGAGCTGAGCCATTCTAAAGTCAGGAATCAGGAGCCAGAAGCCAAGAGCTTACTCCAGGTTTCTCATGTGGGTACAGGGGCCTATGGACTGAACCATCCTTCACTGCCTTCCCAGACAATAAGCAAGGAGCTGCATTGGAAGTAGAGCAGTTGGAACATGAACTGGTGTCCATATGTGATGCCAGCACTGCAAGACAGAGGATTAATCTGCGTGCTGGCCCCAGCTTTGTTCTTTTTTTTTTCCAAGATGATTTTGATTATTTGGGGTCCCCTTGGCATTCTATGTAAATTTGAGGACAAATTTGTTTGTTTTTGAAAAAAAAAAGTCATTGGAATTTTCATATGAAAACTGAAGATGACTTTGTTTAAATATTTTGAGTGGATAACTTTTTTAAGATTTTACCTTATTTTTTTTTTGAAAGACAGAGTTACAGAGAGACTCTGAGAAATCTTCCCCTGGTTCATTCCCCAAATGGCCACGATGGCCAGAGATGGTGCGTTCCAAAGCCAGGAGCCAGGAACTTCTTCCAGGTCTCAAAAGGACACGGGGCCATCTTTTGCTGCTTTTCCAGGCATATTATCAGGGAGCTTGGGGAGAAGTGGAGCAGCTGGGACTCAAGACAGTGCTCACTTGGGACGCTGGCATGACAGGCGGTAGTTATTGGTCCTTTGCATAGGTTAATTTTTAACACATGGATTTTTAACATACATGCCACTATAAGAAATATCTTCAAAATAATTGAGTCACTAGAATAAATAAATGACATCAAAGATCAGAGCAGGAAAACATTTAATGGAAAAATATATAGGTGCTTTCTGATCTTTTAAGGAGTCTGCTTTTCTGGGGTTAGTGTTTGTTCTCAGGTAGGATGAGGGATATGAAAGCAAGAGATTCAGCTCATCTGTGCTTTCTTTCTTAGGTCTGAAGGACAGCATAGTTCAAAGAGCAAACATGGTCTGAAAGCAGCCTACCAGAGCTAGCTAAGGGAGAAGCACAGGGGCTCAACCGGCTAATCCTCTGCCTGCAAACACTGGCATCCCAGGTGGGTGCCGGTATGTCTTCTGGCTGCTTCACTTCCCATCCAACTCCCTGCTTATTGCCTGGGAAAGTAGTGAAGGATAGGCCAAAGCCTTGGGACCCTGCACCCATATGGGGGACCTGGAAGAGCTCCTGGCTCCTGGCTCCTGGCTCCTGGCTTCTGACTATGCATCAACTCAGCTCCAACTACTGTGAGCATTTATGGAGTGAAGCAGCAGATGGGATGTTAATTTTCTGTCTCTCCTTCTCTCTGTCAATCTGCCAACCCTATGAAAATAAATAAATCTTTTTTAAAAAAGCATAGCTAATAAGCAGACCTTGGAAATGATAAGGAGGACAGAAAGTGAAGCCAGGAGATAGAAAAATATAGAGGAAGGACTTAACTAATAGATATTTACAAAGTGAGAAAACCTAGAAAGAGAGGAGGCATGAGAACTGGGAAATACAAATAAAGGTCAATAGGGGGAACAGAAACTGATGAGGAAAACCATGGGTGGTGAAAAAGCTGTGGTGGAAGAGCTGAGATGGGGCATTGGGTGGAAGCCTAGTCATGCAAATCTCCCTTGGCCTTCGGCCCCCCCAGGCATGCAAGACTTTAATTACCTCCACACTAACTGCTTTGAGATCACACTGGAACTGAGCTGCAACAAGTTTCCCCAACAGGAGGAATTACCAAGGGAATGGCTGGGCAATCGGGAAGCCCTAATCCAATTCTTAGAACAGGTAAGATCTCCTTCTGTGAACTTTCCCAATTACAAAAAATGAGATGTTTCCCAATGGCATATATTTTTTTAATCTATGGGGAAGAATGTTCCTCCAAAGTGGACACAAGAGTGAATAAAATGTCAATAGCAAGCCTGTAGAAAAACTCCAACCATCACTAACTGATAGGTAAATGCAAATCAGAACCACAGTGAGATACCACCTCACTTCCAATAGCATGGCTGCTAGAACAATCCAATAAATAAAAGCATACATTAACAAACGTTGGCAAGGATATGAGAAAATAAAATCCTTGTGCCATGTAAAACGGTGCTATGGAAAACAGTAAGACAGCGTCTCAGAGAATTAAAAATTGAGTTACTATATGACCCAGCAGTAATATTTTGGGATATATATGTAAAATAATTGAAAGACGGATCTCAGCGAGGTATTTGTACATCCATACTCCTAACAGTGTTGTTCATGATAGCCAAAAATGTAGAAACAACCCAAGTATGCCCTGATGGAAGAATGTCTGAAGAGCAGTGTATACACAGAATGAATTATTCTTCACCCTTAAAAAGCATGGACAGTCTAATGCATGCTGTACCCTGGATAAACCATGGGACATGATGCCAGATAAAATCAGTCTGCCACAAAGTATGTGACCTCAGGTATACTAGGTACTTGAAGTCGTCAAAACCAGTGTCAGGAGGTAGACTGGTGGCGGCAGCAATTACCCGTAGGAGGAACTGAGGAGTTACCGTGTGATGGGTGTAGAGTTTGAGTCTTACAAGATGAAAGGGTTCTTTGAGATGGATCATGGTGATGGTTACCCAACACAGTAAAGGTGTTTAATATTCCTGAAGTGTACACTCAAAATGATTAATATGATATGTCTTATGTTATTTTTATGTCATCACAGTGAAAACATATTTTAATTGAAGAAACATAGGGTCAGGACCTGAGTGCACCTGAGATGAGCCCAGGAGCCGGGGAGGGAACAGGAGATGGAAGCAGAGCACCAGCAGGGACGGAGGTTTGCAGAGAGCGTCAGAACCCCTGCTTCTGCTCTGAGACAGTTGGGTTTGGAGCAGATCAGTAACATAACTTGATTTAGATCTCAATAGGATCAATACAGCCCAGACTGTGATGCAGTTTATAAAAACTGAATTAAAAGAAGTCAGGATCAATCACGGTGTTCTACTAATAAGAGATTATGGAGATAGGAGAGTGACAGAGAAACTGGTGAAGAGGCTGTGGCCACAACCTTTGTGACAGCTTAAGAGAAGCTAAAATACTACACAGATATTTTATGATCATAGCCCTCTATCAACTTCTTCCTACAGGTTCACCAGGGGATCAAGGGAATGGTACGTGATGAGAATTTTAACAACATCACAGAGGCCGTCATTTCTGTTGATGGGATTAACCATGACGTCACTCCCGGTAGGTGCTTAGCAGGAGGGAGAACATTTATTTCTAGTCTTCAGCAGAATCGGGGGCTAGTTTGTAAGCCAGTGAACCTAGCAAGGATGTCAGGCCCTAGACACTAGATGCTGGAGACTGAATGCTAGAAATAAGCACAGGAAATTAAGGGGCCAGGTCAAGACGCCACGATGCTGGGTGGGAAAACCTTTGCTTCTGAAGCAGCAATCCTGAGAAACAAGGACTAGAAAAGATACCTGTAAACCTACCTTCTTATCAACACTTGGGAGTCACTGCCGTAATACAACTTGCTGGGGGATCTTCTGGGCTTTGGGACTATGAATCACTCATACACTGGTAGGAAATGGGTAGAAAAAGAAGAAACATAACACTAAGGCTTAGTCTTATTCTGAGCCAGGCATTTTGCTACATGTTGATTCTGGGAAAAGGAGTAGTGATATTTGTTTTACCAGCCAGCTGCAGGGCAAGATTGATGATGGAGGGCAAGACTTTTTATATAACTATCTAGGCCCTTCTAGAGGGTAAAGAATTGTGTGATAGCAGAATGGTGTTTCAAACCAACCCCACTCACTCCGAACATGCTGAACTCTTAGGTTTGTTTGTTTTGGATGTATAGCACTAGCTGCCAAGGGCTAGAAGTGGCTGAGATTTGCCTAGTAGGCAACCTTGGTATCAGCAAATTTGGCTCAACCAAAATTTGACCACAGTAACTGTATTACCAAGCAGGTATGTTACAGTTTCTATAATTTAAGCCAGATGCAATCTCTGCTTTATGTTCTTTTTTTTTTCCTTCAAAAACTATTTATTTGAGAGGCAGAGGGAGAGAGAAAAATTCCCAAATGTTGGCCCTCCCTCAAAATATCCACAACAGTTGGAGCAGAGCTGGAACAAAGCTTGGAATTCACTACAGGCATCCTACATGGGTGATAAAAACCCATGGAGTCAAAATTACTGGAGCCGTTACCTGCTGCTTGCCGGGGTTTGCTCTAGCAAGAAGTTGGAGGCAAATGCTAAAGCTGGTACTAAACCCAGGTACTCCAAGTTGAGCCATGGACATCTTTTTTTTTTTTCTTTATTTTTGACAATCTACATAGTTAATTAGGGCACAAAGGTTCAAGGGCTACAGGAAAGTGAGTAAAACTATTATTTCCACTTTTTTTTTCTGTATCTGGGGTGAAGGGGGAGATAAAGAGGGAAGCCCCACCCAGTCTCCTAGCCATCCCAGGTCCCCAATGTGGGGCATGCTCCGAGGGTCTTATTCAAGTGGTTTTGATAGTTTAACAGTTATGAATTGCTGCCAATCTCGCCACTCCAAGCACAAAGAAATTGCTGCAGAATCCACTGGTTGACATAGTCCACCTGGGAGTCTCCATTTACTCTGTTTTTCAATGCCAACATATGGCTGGGGTAGTTGGTTGATTTGTTCTGTCTTCTGTTGTGGTGCCAGGTATCCTCTGCAGGTTCCAATAAACTCCAGCTCCATCTGCAGCTGGTTATGCTGTCCACTGCTCCACCTGAGCCTCTAAGGAGGCTTGGCTCTGGCACTTGCATGGGCATCTTAACCCCAGGGTAAATGATCATTCCTGTTTCATGATCTTGAAGATAATCCCAGCACATCATCAGCCAAAGATTAATTTGGGGCCCGGCGGCGTGACCTAGTGACTAAAGTCCTCGCCTTGAATGCGCCGGGATCCCATATGGGCACCAGTTCTAATCCCAGTGCCCCGCTTCCCATCCAGCTCCCTGCTTGTGGCCTGGGAAAGCAGCCGAGGACGGTCCAAAGCTTTGGGACCCTGTACCCATGTGGGAGACCCGGAAGAAATTCCTGGATCCTGGCTCTGGATCAGCGCAGTACCGGCTGCTGTGCTCACTTGGGGAGTGAATCATCGGACGGAAGATCTTCCTCTCTGTCTCTCCTCCTCTCTGTATATCTGACTTTCCAATAAATAAATAAATCTTTTTAAAAAGAAAAGATTAATTTAAGGGAAAAGTAATTTTCTAAAGGAGGAATCCTGTGGCTTTATAGTCAGGCATTAGACACCCAGAATCCTCCAGCCTACTGACTGATCCCAGGAGTCTTTAGTCTACCTTAGTCACCGTAAGGGCTTGCTAGATATGTATATATAAGTATAAAGGAGTTTTCATTTACATCAAGAGAAAGAGATCCTCCTTCTGTTGGTTGACTCCCCAAACTTTCCCATAGTCAAGGCTAGGCTAGACCAAAGTCAAGGATTCCGAAATCCAGGTCTTCTCCATAGCTGGTAGGGTTCCAAGCATCTGTTGGCTCCCTATCACAACATCAGGAAGCTGAGTTGGAAGTGGAGTAGCTGCGATAAATGTCCCAAGCAGCGGCTTAACCCATTATGCCATAATTCCTGATTGCTAGATTCTTACACCCTATTTAAGCAGAGACGAGGACTATCTGTGAACATTGTAGCCAATCAACAAGTGTTGAATAGTAATTTCACCAAGAAGTGCCCGTTTCTCACATCCATTATCTAAATGAAGGATTCATTCATTTCACTAGTGAAAACAACCCTTGCTAACGTTCATCGTGCTACTCAGCAAAGCAACTGGCATGTATTAGGGATAAGGGAAGTGAAGCCCCCGCAAGCCCTGATCAGGAGCGAACCCTTTGTAATCAACATATGCATGAAAGAGCATCACCTTTGCTAACATATAGAAATAAGTTCAGGCATATAATAGGAGGCAAGAAAAAAGACTTTGCTTTTTCTCTTATTCATTGTTGTGCTCTTAAAAATTAAGATTTTTTTAAAAAAGATTTGTTTTTATTGGGAACTCAGATATACAGAGAGACAGAGAGGAAGATCTTTGTCCAATGATTCACTCCCCAAGTGACCACAACGGTCGGAGCTAAGCTAAACCAAAGCCAGGAACCAGAAGCTTCTTCCAGGTCTCCCATGTGGATACAGGATCCCAAGGCTTTGGGCCATCCTCAAATGCTTTCCCAGGCCACAAGCAGGGAACTAGATGGGGAGTAGAGCAGTCAGTACACGAACCTGCACCCATATGGGATCTTGGCACATTCAAGGCGAGGACTTAAACTGCTAGGCTACCATGCCAGGCCCAAGATTTTATTAATTTGAAAGGCAGAGTGACAGAGGTAAGGAGAGAGGAAGAGAGAGATTCATTCTCTGGGTTCACTCCCCAAATGGCTGCACTGGTTGGGATTGAGTCAGGCTAAAACCAGATTTGGAACCCCATCCAGACCTCCTACCTAAGTAAGTAGCCGGGGCCCCGAGAACTTGAGCCATCTTCTGTGGCTTCTCCAAGCACATTAGCAGGGAGCTGGATGGAAAGGGAGTACTTGGGACTTGAATGAGTGCACTGATATGGGATGGCAGCATCACAATCAGTGGGTCAGACTACTGTGCCACAATGCTGGCTTCCAGCAATTTCTTTAAAGGCTTATTTGAAAAGCAAAGAGTAGGCAGAGAGACAGAAGTCTTCCATCTGCCTGGCACTCCCCCAATGGTCTCAGTCACCGTGACTAGCTGGTTAAGGCCAAATCCAGGAAGCTGGAACTAAAGTGGAATTGCAGTGTTGGTATTGTGGCACACCAGGTTAAGCCCCACCTATAGCACCAGCATCCCATGTAGGAATGCCAGTTCAACTGCTAGCTGCTCTGCTTTTGATCTGCCTGCTGAAGTGCCTGAGAAGGCAATGAACATGACCTAAGGACTTGGGACCCTGTTATACACAGGCAGGAAAAAGAGCAAATCTTTGGCTGCTGGCTTTGGCCTGGTCTACCTTAGTGTTTTGGCCATCTGTGAACCAGTGGATGGGACACATTTCTCCCTCTGTCTATATCTCCCCTGTTTTTCTATCACTCTGCCTTTCAAATATATAAATACAATACAATAATATAGTATAATATTATATATAACATAATATATATTAAAAAGCAAAATTGTCAAGAATTTGAGTTGGCCCTTGGGTATGGATTGTGGGAGTCCCAAACAGTGGCTTAACTTGCTCTACCAGCCACAGCTACGATCCCTGTTGGGCAGATTTTTAATCAGCAGCCATCCTTGTGACTTTCAGGTAAGCACGGGGATTACTTCCGCCTGCTGCTTCCAGGTACTTACGTCGTGACTGCCACAGCGCCTGGGTTTGATCCACAGACAACAACTGTGACTGTGGGTCCTGCAAAACCAGAAGTGGTGAGTAGGGCAGACCTTTACAGAAACTGCAACAAGCAGCTGCACAAAGTCTTAAACAACTGGTGCTTGGTTCTGTCATTTGTGACTCTACTTTCTTCATGTTTTAAAAAGTTCATTGCTTTCTTAAGTTTTCTTCTGCTACTGTCTTACTATTCCTTCATCACTTCTGGTTGCCTCTTCTTAACATATATGTATATAATTCATTTATTTTTATTGGAAAGGCAGATTTACAGAGTGGAGGAAAGACAGAAAGATCTTCCGTCCATTGCCTCATGTGGCTACAATGGCCATTGCTGAGCCAGTCTGAAGCCAGGAGCCAGAAGCTTCTTCCAGATCTCCCACATGGGTGCAGGGTCTCAGTGCTTTGGGATATCCTGCCTGCTTTCCCAGGCCACAAGCAGGGAGCTGGATGGGAAAAGAAACAGCCAGGACGTGAGCCAATACTCATATGGGATTCCAGCACATGAAAAGCAAGGATTTAGCCACTGGGAAATCACGCTGGGACCTTAATATTTATTATATTTATCTGAACAGCAGAGTGACAGAAAAAGAGGAAGAGATACAGAGAGCCCTTGCATCCACTAGTTTATTCCCTAAATTACCACGATGTTGAAGGTGGGTGGGCCAGGCCAACGCCAGGAGCCAGGAACACCATCTGGGTCTCCCCTGCCAGAGGTAGGGTGTGGAATAGGCATGAAAAGGAAAGAAAGGGACCACTACAATTTCAGCATTGTAATGGACAAATGCAAGAAAGCCGTCTCCTTTATACAGAAACCCTCACAAGCTCTGGCACAGACTTTTGATGTCATGGTCAAGTGGGTATCCAAGAATAACTCTGCTGTTTGTTTCACTTAAAAACTCTCAATAGAAGTTCCTACTACGATTCTTATTCTACAACTCAATCTTGAATCAGTTAAGGGACTGTATCACAAAGAAAAGGAGAACCTAAAGATCAATAAAAAAATGAAACCCTAAACACAGAGCCCTTGATCAGCATAAAGTTGATGGGGACAGCCAAGGCAGTGTGAATAATAAAAGGTCCTTTTGCGAGACATTATTAGCGACATTAACTTCCAAGCTCACATTGACAGTAAAAAACCAATTCTGCAGCAGCAAACAACGCCAGAATGGATTAGAATTCTTCCACAGGTGGTCCAGTGTCCATGCAAAGGAAGGTGGAGCTGCATTCAGGTGGTTGTAGAGACATCCACTGGACCCTGCCAAACAGCGGGAAATTCCTTGCAGCCCTGCCTGCAGTGGAACAATACTCTTCACACCTTCTTGTCCCCCACTTCCACTGCACGGACCCCAGCAATAGGGAGATGGTCTTCAAAGCCAATAATAGGGGACTGCGTGTTTGGGCCATCTTCTGTTGCCTTCCCAGGCTCATTAGCACAAAGTGGAATGGGAAGCAGACCAGCCATCACAGACAGCAGCTAACCTACTGCACCACAGTGTGTCGGCCCCTGGCTCTTCCTCCTCCTGTTTGACATGGCATAGTGACTAAAAGCCTGTTTCTACTATGAGCTTATTTGCCCATAGAACCCATTCAAATTTCCTGATCTCTGAACACGAATTTTTTTCCTCTGAAAGTTAGTACCAGAAGGGCCTCCTTCATAAGCAAATGAAGTGAGAAAGCATATAGAAAGAATTTAGTACAGCGAGGGCCACAGAGAAAAGGCTAAGCACATGCTCCCCGTGGCGCTTTCCGGTGCTGAGAACAAGGACTACCATCAGATGGCGCTCGCACGGCCTCCTGAGGCCCCCCCCCAGGCCCAGGCTGTCACGCCTGGCCCTGGCTGCTGGGGCTGCAACTCCTCAACTCAGCAGTGTCTCCGTTCTGCCCTGACAGGATGAGAAGCAGTGTCAGCTCCCTTGTTTGGGCCCCATTCAATTAGGGTCTCGGCGCTCAGAAGTCATGGACACTAATCCTCAAATTCATCGGATGAGGAAAAAGCCTCGAGGCAGTCCTATTTGGAGCTTCCACCTATAAACCTGTGTCCTGCCAGCACTCCTCACTCTGTCCCCTTTGTTCTCCAAGCAACCCTAAAGCCGAGTAGACTCTCCTGCTCTTGCCCATAACAGATCAGATCCCTTATCTTTCTCTAGACAATGAGGGTACTGTGTATCTGACACTGAACGGAAAGCTTTCAGAATTAGCTCGTAATTATGACAAGGTAGATATGTAAGAATCCCCACTTCAGACTATGGAAACTGAAATTTAGAGATGATGAGAAACTTGTACAGCTTCACGTAGTGGGGGAAATAAAAGCCAGGATTCTAAGCCAGGTCTGCCCCGTGCTGCCTGTCAAGGGCGCCATGTTCAGCATGCAACCTGCTTTGCAATCCCTATGTTAACTCCAAAGTCAGAGCAAAGCTGTGCCATTCGAGGGTTCTTCTGAAACATCTGGACCATTCCCTGTCTTCCTTCCTTCAGTCTGTCTGCTGTCATCTCCAGCAGGGACAAGTCACTGCTACTTGCAGCTGTAGGAAGTGAAGAACGACTTTCCCATTGCAGCCTGTTCGCTGACCCTGGTTTTGCAGCCCATGGCCCCTTTCTAGCCCCCTTTATTCTTGTTATGTGCCAAAAATCAGATGGCCATGAGGCAGCCGCATACATACAAGGGGTCTTCCCAAAGGTCATGGAAAATACTTGAAAAGGATACACGTGGATTTCACGATGTTTTGCACCAAAGCATGCCTATCCTTTCATTCTGTCTTCCGCCCTCTTTCTGAGGGAAGATCTATTCAGTGACACGTGCAAACAACAGCACATCCTCTTGAGGAACACGCTGTGTTTCAAAGTATTTCACCCCCTTCTCCACATACGCTTCATAGAAAGGCACACCGCCTGTCAGTATGCCACATCGAATTCAGAATGGGGACAACCTGCCATTCAGACACCATTCCCAGATAGGAAGGGACCAAGAACCCTGACTGCCACAGTGGAGTCTGCACCCTTCCCACTTGGGAACAGAGACCCCTGTGGCTCCTTCTTGTCCCAGTCCTAGGAAGTCACCTTAACACATCCGGAGGCCCACCGTGTTCCCTCAGCAGCTTTCCTTGGCCTGTTTGTTCTTTATACCTTTCCTGTATTTCTGTTACTGCTAGGAAGTGGAAAATTGTATCGTTGGCTTGAATCTCCCTCCCAGCATTGGCTGTGGCCTTTTGTGGAGGGGCCTCCCACCCCCACACATATACCATGTTTTCTCTCTATCAGCTGGTTCCTGCTGCAAGCTGTTCTGAGAGCCAGCAAGCCAGGCTTGGCACTTCCTCTGCAAGCACAGCTGCGGCAATTCTTTCTCTTTTTTTTAAGATTTATTTTTATTTGAAAGGTAGACATGCAGGAGAGGAGGAAAGACAGAGAGGAAGGCCTTCTGTCTGATGATTCACTCCCCAAGTGACTGCAACTGCTGGAGCTGAGCCAGTCCAAAACCAGGAGCCAGAAGCTCTTCTAGGCCTCCCATGCGGGTGCAGAGTTCCAAGGATTTGAGCCGTCCTCGACTGCTTTCCCAGGCCACGAGCAGGGAGCGGGATGGAAAGCAGGGCTGTTGGGATTAGAACCGGCGCCCATATGGGATCCCGACATGTGCAAGGTGAGGACTTTAGCCATTACGCTATCGCGCTGGGCCCATGCTGGGGCAATTCTAACAGCCTACACCTACCCTCTGCTTACCATGGCCAGAGGAGAGGCTTCAATAATGCAGGGCTTGGAGGGACACACAAGGGTTACAGCCTCAGGGCTACGGACTCTATCAGCTTCACCATCTCTGGGGCAGCAAGCAAGGCAAACGCTTAGCCCTGAAGGCCAAAGCCACCTGAGCCACCCACGGGCCTGAGCACCAGCCCTGTGGCTGCAGATGGCCTGAAGGAGTTATTATGGTTGTGTCAATCCTAGCTCTTTGCCCGAGCAGCAAGACTGGAGGAAAAGCCATGGCTTACACTGTAGGTATCATATTTTCATAATACTGAGACTCTACCAGTGCTTGTAACACATGTAAATAGCAAAAAGCTCCAGTCGCGATTACAGCTGAAGGACTATAGGAGGCAAGAAGAAGGATGGAAGGAGGGAGGGAAAATGGAAAGACCTATACCTTAAAAACTATACAATGGAAAATAAAATGAATGAATGAATGACATACGTCTGAGGGAAAAAGAAGTGGCATGCAGTTCATGTGAGCCCTTCCTCCATGTGGCCAGCAGATGGCAGTGCACTGCCCCTGGGCACTATTAGCATCCACAGCCTACCATTGCTGACCATCAGCCAACACGCCTTCGCGACCCACCCGTGCCCTCCTATATCTCCTATGCTCACTGCCCTCGCCTCCCCGGGGGCTGTGGTCAAGCAGAGTCCAGCCTGGCCTCCTAGCTTCTCCTTGTTCCCTTCCAGGTTAACTTCCAGCTCAAGAGAAGCACCTCTCAAGCAAGCTCCTTGAGGAGGGCTCCGAGTGGAGGCCAGCGAGGCCGAGTGAAAACGCAGCCCCGCCTGGCCAGAAGGAAGGAGGTGGTGGGAAAGCTGCCGCGGAGAGGCCCCGCCTGAGCCCCGCAAAGCCTGCTTGCTGCGCTTGGAGTGGATGAAACTCACTTCCTGTGTGATTGTCCAGGACGTATTTAAGTCTGAGTATAAGCTATCCGAACACCGTGGAACAGTCAGTCTCTGGCCATCCCAGGGCCGAGGCCTCTCTAGGCCATCATTAAAGGAATCAGTGTCCACCGGAAACAGATGCCGTAGTGTTGTGGGAGGGAGACCCCATGCAGGGAGTCAGCTTCAGCATCGTGCCTGCTGGCGCAGCTTGCATGCAGGGACTGGTTTTGCTTTCAGATCTAGCACGGAGCTCACAACGTCACAGTGCTCAGTGAAGACAAGATGTTGGCTGCAGTGGCAACGAACCCATCCTCCGTGCCAGGAGCAAAACCCATTTTTCCGGAATCCCAGGGGACCATTTAGCAAAGGCCAATCGTTTCTCAAGAAGAGGAGGATTTGACAGGCGATCTCACAGCCCCACTGCCACTCATGCCTACCTGTAGGCACTGTAGACAATGTGCACCCCCTAAAGCCTTTTCTGAGTGGGCAAGTGTAACACAGGTGCCCAGAGGGTGGCTCTGGTTCAGTTCTGGGCCCAGTATTCTGCACTGAGTTCCCAGGAACATCTGGCTTGTGCCACACGCATTACTAAGCAGATTGGATGTTACTCAAGGTTGTGAAGCATGTATGGTTTTTCATTGCACCTGTCACAGCACACATGCTCACAGATTCTCACCAGGTGTGAGGGGACCCCCTAAGACCCTGTCATCGTCGCTGGTTGTGGCCTGTCTCTCATGCACTCCCGTGCAGAGTTCACAGCCGGTTAGACCAGGCAGGTTCCAGTTTCCGGAATCAGGGCAGCTCCTCTAAATGAAAATTCCCACTCAGCAGAAAAGCAGGGGTGTTGGTGCTACAGGTGATCGGAGTTAGGACGGACACATTGTTTATATCTTGGTTTTCTGAATGGGCTCTCAATCCTTGGTCAAAAGGAACACAGACGAAAAAGTGAGTTCTCTCCTTAGGATAAAAGACCCATCCTTTCTTCAGATGTGTATTTTCCTCTTTCATCCCCGTTTTCATTTCAGGCCCCTCTAGCTGGGCTTCTTGTCCTAGTGAGGCAGCTACTTGACAGGGCTCCATTCAATACCAGCAGAACTTAGAAACTCGGTCCATGAGATTACCACATGTACCTAGGCTCTTCCAGACCGTCTGAATTTATCTTGCTTTAGGGCCCCTTGGTTACAAGGTGACTTGTACCAAGAGCTGATGTTTCTAAAACATGGTCTAAGTGCTTCCCCTGGCACAGCCACAGAGTCTCACGCAGTCACGCAAGGAGTGGGGATGGGCGCTGGCTGGCTGTAGCAGCACTGAAACGCAGCCTGTGATCTCCACGCAGCACAACCTGAACGTGGCTGGGAAACCAAACAGGCCAGCCATACTGCACTGTAGTAACTGCTGGGATTCCATAGACAGGGGCGGGGGCCAGGGGCCATCCTGCCACAGTTAGAGGAAAGTCAGGAAAAGGACCCCAAAGCTAGTAGAATCTAAAGTGAAAATTCATAGAGTCAGATAAAGAAGCGCTGGCCAGGTGGGAGGACGTGGGAGGAGAGTGTACCTGCTGACACCCATGTAGGAACAGAGGGCTTGTTCAAGCCAACTGTAAGACTCCATGCAGTGAGAGCTGGCAGAGGTGCTGAAAGCCAAGGCCCTGGGTGGAGAGGCGGGAAGGAGTCAGAAGGGACCGATGCCTGGAGGGCCCTGGCCTTGAGCTTGAAAAAGAGCTAGAAGCCATTGATGGGCTCTGCCAGGGGCTGCGCTGCAGAATCTGATTAAGGTTGATGGCTTAGGCGGTTGTACACACTGCTAAGAAGAAAAGGCAGGCTCTGGCCGTGATCATGTGATAAGTCACCGGACGCTGAGCAAGCCTGTTGCTATGGGTTGCAGAGGGTTTGAGCCTGTCCCCACAGGTTTCTGTGCTGGAAGCCTGGTTCCTCCCCTCTGTGGTGGTGCTGACATGGAGTCGCTAGGAGGTGGCGCCTGGTCTAAGGTAATTAGGTCACGGGGCACCACCCTGGGGAGGGATTAGAGTTGATCTCATGGAGTGAGTTGTGCTCCTGAGAGTCAACTGTGACCAGGCCAGTGGCTCACGTGGCCCCTCTTGCACATGGCCGATGCCCTTTGTGTTCCTTCATCAGGTTGTGACTCCAGGACACCAGCGCCTAGCGACATGGCTCTCGGAGAGTCAGTAGACTCCTAAGCCAAGTAACCCCCTCCGAGTGACCCAGCCTCCGGTGATGGGCTAGAACAGAACAAGACAGCCCTGGAGAGATGTGAACTCAGAACTCATGGTGGGGAGAGAGTAGCAGAGCTGAAAGGATCACAAAGCAGGCCCAGGTAGCCTGACTGGCACCCTTTCTAGTTCCGGTCTAGAATGTCCTTTTAAAAAGGAAGTCTTGGGCCCGGCGGCGTGGCCTAACGGCTAAAGTCCTCACCTTGAACGCACCAGGATTCCATTTGGGCGCCAGTTCTAATCCCGGCAGCTCTACTTCCCATCCAGCTCCTTGCCTGTGGCCTGGGAAAGCAGGCAAGGATGGCCCAAAGCCTTGGGACCCTGCACCCATGTGGGAGACCCAGAAGAGGTTCCTGGCTCCTGGCTTCGGATCAGCACAGCAGCAGCCGTTGCGGTCACTTGGGGAGTGAATCATCGGACAGAAGATCTTCCTCTCTCTCCTTCTCTGTATATCTGACTTTGTAATATCAATAAATAAATCTTTACAGAGGAAGCCTTCCATACATAGTATCAGACTTTGTAGGTGGTGTTTCCTGAAAGGGTAAAACACTGCAGGTAAGGGCCTGGGTTTTGTACTCTCAGACCTAGGTTTTTAGGTTTTTTTGTATACCAAAAAGATTTATTTAGCTTGGCAGTATGACAGAGAGGGAGCGAGAAGAGATCTTTCATCTGCTGGATCACTCTCCAAGGGGCTACAACTACCAGGGCTGGGCCTGGCCGAAGCCAGGAGCTTAGAGCCTCATCTGAATCTCCCACATGGGTAGCCCAGACTCCAGCACTTGGACCATCTTTTGCTGCTTTCCCAGGTACAGCAGCAGTGAGCTGGATTGGAAGTGGAGCAGCTGAGACTCGAACCTGTGCTCTGATGAAAATGCTATTGTTGCAAGCAGCAGCTTAACCCATTGCATCACATTGCTGCCTCTAGACCTGGGTTTTAATCTTGGGTGTACTTCTTCTGGTATGTACTTGAGGAAATAACTCATCTTCTGCAAGTTGTAGTTCCTCATCTGAAAAAGAGAGAAAGAGGGCATCACTTCCCTGGGAGTCTGTTGGAGATTACAAGTGATGCACTCAGCAGATCAGCAGGAGGGGAAGGCTGCAGACGGGTTGGCTGGCAGCTGGGGAGTCCCACAGGGTTTCCTGAAGGCTGCACCCAGCCCACCTGCCTCATTTGTCACCCTAGTGACTACAAGGGCCTTCATTAGCTCCTTCCTCTTCCAGTGCATGTCCTTCCAACTGGAAGACTTCACACTGCTGTGACTCTCACCTCAATTCCAGAGAATGTGCAGCTACCAGACAACGTGTTACCAAATGACCTTGGCACCTGCTCCTGGTTCCTGCAAGTGACTTTCAGCTGCTGTAAGTGAGACCAGCCTGACTTTATATGCTCAGCCCTTATAACCATGCCTAGTACACACACACGCACACACACACACACACTCTCTCTCTCTCTCTCTCTCTCTCTCTCTCTCCATGTGTTTGCCGAGTGAATGAAATTCAAAACTGTGTTATTTCTTTCTCTTCCTCTTTCATGACTTTCTTCTTTAATATAGTATTAGTGGGCTTGAGCATTTTTGTAAACTAGAAACCATGGTAGCATTTTTAGGTGAATCCCAATAACTATTCCCCTTAAGTAAAACCTTCCCTTGCATGTGGGTAGGGTTTTGTAGATATGAAGAGACACCGTTTCTGTGACTGTTACATTGTGTGGCCAAAGGATTTTGCAGATATTACCAAGGTTGCAAATCAGTCCATTCTGATTTGTTTTGGTTGAAATTCTGAACAGTTGTTTTAATTAGGCCTGACCTGATCAAGTGAGCCCTTTATAAAGCAAGGGGCATTTTCTCTGGCTGGCTTCTGAGAAAGAGAGCTGCCTGTGCAGAACAGTGGCCACTAGGAACTGAGGAAGGTCCCCAGCCAACAGCCAGTGAGAAAGCGGCAGTCGGCATACAGCTGGAAGGCAAAGGATTGTGCCAGTAACCTGAGTGAGCCTGGGCCAAGGCACTGAATGTGGCCTTGCGATCTGAGCAGAGGCTCCAGCCAAAACAGACCCAGACTCCCAAAGGACAGAAATCATATTCCAGCTCTTTGTGCATTTTCAAACCTCTGAATGGATATGCTAATTTGTTACATGGTGATGAAATACTATAGACTACCTCAAGTTGTTAGTAAATTAGATAGAATATAAATAAAGCAGAAATAATCCGTTGCTATCAGCACATGGAGTAGTACAGCTGCCATATTCCTATCTTGAGTGAACATATGTAAAACAGAACACAGAGAAAAAAAGTAAAGTTTACATCACGCTTTAGGAAAGAAGGCAGGTGTAGTCAACTTAACCGAGCCGGGGACTGTGACATCCTCTCTAAACAGCAGGTGTCTGGCAGCAGGGACTTCAGGCTTTGAATGACTTGTTCTCTGCCTCAAAGGGTCCTGATTACTTGTGCCAGATTGCTTGTTATAGTCTGGTAGACATACAGCACTGACACAAATGAAGAAGCAAGAGAAAACATAAAGAGGATGCAAGTTTGTGTGGAGGCAAATGGGGACTCTTCCCACTTCCCCCAACAGCGTGTCACACCTCAATTCCTTCCACCCTGCTCCAAGACACTTTGGAGAAACAGTGGCACAGGAGCCCTTCTGAATAGCCACACCCAGCTTGCCAAAACCTGGGAATGTTTTCTTCATCAGTAAAGTCCCAATACAATGATGTAAGATTTATTTCTGTTCAAGATGCAGAGTAGAAATTC